GAGGGCATACTTGAAGAGAAAGGAAAGCAGAGAGAAAGAAAGGGAGGGAGAGATGGGAAACTCCCCTTTTCAGCAGGCAACATCAATGGTCCCAATGGGAACGCCCTTCCCGCCAACCGTTCTTGCAATGTATGGATTGTAATATGACCGCCTTACATGTTTCACATTAGAAATAGGATTGTAACACTGGCATTAAAACCTTCCTACATCCTATCCAACCCTCCCGCCACCTTACATCTATCAGTCTCTTGTTTTTAGACATTTCTAAACATGTCTGCACTTAGAATGAGCCATTCTTCTCTCCGTCTTATCTCTAGATGTTTAGCACTGTGCATTGGCCTCAAGTTGACATGAAAATAACTGACATATGATGTTTGAAATTGAAGATGTTACCTGTAGAAAGATGTTGATGCATGGTATCTTTTTGGGTTTACTTGGTTGTTACTATGAACAAATAAATAAAGAGTGATGCCAGAACTCTGAATAAAATTTTTATTAAAACATACATCGGTGTAGTATATGAATGCCATACTTCCTCATAGACCTTGTTTTCTCTTAGTGGTTTGGAGCTTATTACAGTGTTTTTGTATGTGTGAGGCCATTGTGAAATACCTGACACGGCCAATAAGGTGGCAAACAGGGTGCCCAGTGGCACACAGCATGTGTCGTATCCCAATGCTGTGTTGCTGCTGTCTGTCTCGCTTTAATTTACATGTAAGCTAATCCTATTTGCATTAACTTTGGGCATGATGGCTTCTTTGCAGTTTTGAATTATTTTATTTTTCCTATCTATCAAGGCCACATTAGCTTTTTGGCTCAGTGTTGTTCAGTACAGTACATTAGTGTGGTAGCGTAATGGCTAATGTAAATAACAGGTGGAGCCGAGCTACGCATAGCTGTCGTGTCTATTCGTCTGTCTGTTTTTCCATGTTTCACAGTTATACTGCTGCTTCAGCATTTCAGAAGGTGTTCTGGGCGGGATACTTTCTCTCCACCTGTCCACACACACATTAACACGCTTGTCTCTGTATATGGCTTATGATTAGGCCCTTGAGCAAGCATAATTGTGGGCCACTGAGATTGAGAAAGCAAGGGGGTTCTGGGAATATAGTATGTGTGTGTGTGTGTGTGTTTGTGGGGTGGGGGTGTACATGAGGGGTTTCCTCAGCAGATTTGTTTACTGGTAATTAATTCACCTGATTGATACAACAGCTGTTGACACCATGGGAGGGAAAGCGAGGAAGCGACGGAGAGCGAGACCCCTCGTCATAGTGGCTTCCCTATGTTACACAGTGTAGATTGCCGTCCCAGCGCCCCATTGATTAAAAGGCACATCTGTCAGCCAGCACGGCTGATTATGGCTGCCAGTCCTCACTGGCTAATCTTTATGGAGTCAACTTCACTGACAGAGTTATTGGAAATGGGGGATGTTGGGAGAAAGAGCGGAGGAGGCAATGAGTGTGTTGAAATGCAGCAAGTTAGAAGAACGCTGATATCTTGGATGTTTATTTGGGGGATTTTTAAAAAACATCACATTTGGACTAGTGATGTCAAAATAATGAAATTTCAGTCAAATCTCTATTCTAGTACTATTCAGTCCGCTCAAATCAATGTACTGTTATATAGAGTTTAACATATTAATCTAAAGATTTTAATTTAATATAATTTTTTATGTTATTTTGTCTAATGTTTAAAAAATACTATATTGTATATACTATTATTGTGTTAAGTCGAGATTCATGATTACAGATTCAACTTTCATGCTTTTCCATGCCACTGTATCGCTCTTTCAGCATGTGCTGAGTAGCCAGTGACTGCTTGTTACCAGAGTACATGTGCTTGTGTTTGTCGGCTGGTGATCTGGGTTACCCTGCTCGTCTGAGCACAGATAAGGTAGGATCCATTCCTCATCCTGGATCCCTGCTCCAGATCGATGCCCAGATTAAGCCTTTCCCCCGCCGTCTGCTGCCCAGCCTAGCCCCACAATTGATACTGATAATTAAAACGGTAGTGGCTAATTACTTCAGAGGGTTTGGTCAGTGTTGTGTGTGTGTGTGTGGATGTTAGTTGAACGTATAGGCCACCAATATTACTCATGGATTATTAATAATTAATTAGGTAAATTTATTGCTGAATCTATGATCTGCTTTCTTTCTGCTGGTATACAATAAATAATGTACCCAAAATAATGATGTACATGTTGTTGGTAGTATAGGATGCTTTAGGAATATGAATATATATATATATATATATGCGCTATATCATTATTTTGGGTATACATAAATATATGTATGTGTGTATATGTATTGTGTATATTGTTTCTTATTAATGTAATATAATTTTGATTTTAGATAAGAAAATTGTCATAGAAATTTTTTTTTTATTTTATGACATGATTTTAGCAAATGGCTGCAATATAACAAAGAGTGAAAAATTTAAGGGGGTCTGAATACTTTCCGTACCCACTGTATGTGTGTATATGTATTGTGTATATTGTTTCTTATTAATGTAATATAATTTTGATTTTAGATAAGAAAATTGTCATAGAAATTTTTTTTTTATTTTATGAAATTTTGAATGTTAAAGCACAACTGAAATCTGAGGACAAAAGTCGCAGTTTTATTCAAATTTGCTTGAAAATTTATATTAAACAAAAATTATAGGCAGACTTTTTCTGTTTTTTTTGTTTTGTTTTGTTTTGTTTTTTGTCACAAGCGAAATTTCTGCAAAATTTTGTGGGCAAAAAACCCTCCATTGTCAAATCTGTGTGACCATCTTGAACCCGTTCCGAAATCCGTTTCCCCCTCACGCAAAATTTCTACTCAAACAATGGTAAACGTGAATGCGCCTTTATGGTCAAAACCTTTGGAAAGATACGTTCATGTATAATGTTTTTGCTTTAAGGGAAGAGGGCAGGACAAACATGCAAAGCATGGTATGAGAAGGGTTAACAGGAACTGGAATGTATCTGTTTATGGGGTCGAGAGGGAGAGAGATAGCAGTAGCAAACAGCCAGGCCTATCAAAATCCACAGGCTCCTTTAAACTATCTTCATTCTCCCCTCTTTCTCTCGCACTCCCTCTCTTTCGCTCCCTGGCCGGGCAAGTGATTGACGGCCTGAGGGTTTTAATGGGCACCGGAGAGCGGGAGAGCCAAGGTCTGGGTTGTCATGGCAACAAGCCGATTGGGCCCTCTGCCGCTCTACCTGAGTGAAGCGGAGTCACGCTGCGTGCGAATGTGTGTGTGAGCTACCAATGACTCCTATTCCCGCTGATGGGCCGCTGGTCATTCTGGCCAGTGATTTTCTTTTAGTTCATCTCTGTTTTAATTAAATTATTCATCTGCACACCTTCTGCATTTTCACTCGTTTATATGCTGTTGGAGCCATTGTGCTGGTTAAACCTACACCAGCCACTGTGTAAACAAAATCTCACCGGCCCGATCTGTCACTCAGCCCCTCCCTCTCCTTAACCAAACACACTCGCCAATCCCTCCACTGCATGCAAACACGGTGCCTGGCCATACCTCACCTGTTATCTGCCCAGCGCCAGCCTCCGGCCCCTTTTTCTTACCTCATTTATGAGAAAGTGCATCCTTGTATATAGATTATATGAAAATCTGTGGAGTTTCTGTGGTGGTTGTTGCTAGTGCTTCTGATTTGTCATGTTTGCGGCAGTGTCTTTAAGGGATAGTTCATGTAAAAAAAAAAAGAAAATTCTGTCACTTACTCACCTTCATTTAGTTCCAAACATGTGTGCCTTTATTCCATGGAACAAAAATGCAGAAATTTTCAATTGTTCGTGCTGCATATAGGGAACAGACTTAAAAGTAGTCCATACGACTTAAGCTCTATATTCCAAGTTTACTGTAGCTATACGAAACTTTTGTGTAAGAAACAGACAAAATGTAAGTCGTTCACATCTAGGATGATACTATAACGATAACTATAAAGTATTAATAATCATTCTAACTCTATGAGAACATAGAATTCCACACCACAACTATAATAATAACAACACAGAGCAGCGTTATCATTGGAATCACCGCAACCTTTTTTTTTCCAGCTTATGAACAATGAAAACATTGACAGCATATCAGAATCTATCCAATTTTAAAAAGCATGAGCATTTCAAGTGGCAAATGACAAAAATGCAGCACAGTTATAATAAACACAACTTTATTGTCTATTGGTGTGAATGCTAATGTATATCTTTATAGTTATCTTTATATTTATAGTTCTTGGTCTGAACAGGCCTCTATTCTCTAAAAATGTTGAAAACTGTTAACGGAACCCGCAGTCATTTAAAACGGAACCATTTCTTGGCTCTAAAACTTAGGTGATGGTGGGATGAAGCCTTGAAGGAATTTTAGTCTTTCGATTTACAGGTCGACTTGTCTATCCTTTTGGTGTGTGTGACTATGTGATCTTGAATATATGTTTATGTGTGTATGTTGCTTTAGGGCTTGATTTGTTTGCTTGATGTGTGAGAGCTAAAGACAGAGATAATCATGTACCTATGTCTGTGGATGTTGGTGCATGGAACAGTGCCCTTTGCCCTCTCAGGGTCAGCGGTGAGTGTCTGGGCTATTAGAGTCAGCGGCACTGAGGCGATTTACCCTCCTCCACGCAAATGAGAGCAAAGGGATCTGATTACAGGGTGGAGGAGGGGGCGCTGGGTCGTGTGTAGTCCATGTCTACCCCCTTCTTTATCGTCATGGGAAAGACACGGCTGAGTTTGGCTTTGTCTGGGGTGTGGGGGGCCCAGGCTTCAACCTAAATAACTGCTCACATATGTGACAAGAGATTCTACTTTTATGTTGTTGTATTATGGAATTGTCATTGGAAAAAGTTTTAATGTAAAATTATTTAATGTATTCTATAATACATACAAACTTTAAATGAATAGTTTGAATGGCTAAAAGGTGGAATTTGGTTTGGAATTTTTTTCTATTTTTAGAATTTATTTTCTGACCAGGCTTTGCTTGCTTCTCTGTTTCAGAGTGCGGCAGCAGCTCCCAGTCCTGTGATGGGCAACATGCCGCCCAATGACGGTATGCCAGGTGGACCCATGCCTCCCGGCTTCTTTCAAGTAAGAGCTGCTCTCTCCTCCCCCATCCTCTCGTTCCACCTCCTCCTTTAACCCTGTGCATTAAGCTTTTACCATTTTTTTCTGTCCTTCTCCCCACCCCTCCTTTCACTAACCCCCTTTATTTCTTTTAATCCCTGTCCAGATGTTTCTTTCCCGCTATCTCTCCCTCTCCGTATTTCCATTCATTTCCATTTTGCTTGTCTGAATTAGTAGTTCAGTACAGTAGCAATTCACACTGACACAAACAGAGAGTCATGGCCCCTCATCTGAGATCAGTGTGAATGTCTCGACAGTTTAATCCCTAAGGCCAAAATGGGTAAAAACACGCGTGCTTGGTTGTAGCTCTTTGGCAACACATATTTAACAACATATCTTTGTATTTTAAATTCAAGGCTGGGATTTGGGGAAATGCTTTGGGGCATAGTTCCCAAAGTCAAGGTGCCTGTGGGAGTTCCTCTGCCATAGTGATCTTTATTGAGCTATTTATAGTTAGACAAAGCTAGTCACCTTCCTAAATAAACACACACTACCTTAGGAAGACAAATTCTGTTAGTCAAACATTATCTTTTATCATAACCCTGAGTCCTTAATCAAGCTATTATATCAATTAATTTCTGTTTTGCATCTCTATATTCTATATTTGCTTCTAACTTCAAAGGATTTAACATGTAGTATAAGATATGTTTGATCGATCATCAGGTGCAGTGGATAGCAGGGCAGATGGAGCATCCCATGGAGTATATATCCAAGATTCATTACATAATAAAAATCTGATACAGTGGATTTACTGTCGAACATCAGATGAAGCTTCCAGTAGAATAGATAGAGGATCCAGTAGAGTCAATAAAAGATAAGATATGAGATAGAAGAGGCGGTGCAGTGATTTCAATATTTAGTAAAACATCAGACAGGTATAGAGTAGATGGAAGATCAGATAGAGTGGCAGATAGAGCATCCCACAAAGTGTATGTATACCATAAGATTCATTAGATAGAAAAACGGATACAGTGTATTTATAATCTTGCCAAACATCAGGTAGATTAGATGGAATATGGAACATCTAACTCCGATAGAGTAGATAGAAGATCAGAGCACCTGACAGAGCAGCAGATAGAGGACCCAATGGAGTCAATGAGATAAGATGAATATCAATAGGTTAGATAGAGCATCCAAAAGAGTAGATGGAATGTCAGATACAAGATAAGGAAAGAGTGGCAGATAGAGCATCCCATAGAGTGTATATGTAACAAGATTCATTAGATAGAAAATCTGATAGTGTATTTAACATCTTATTGAACATCTGATAGATTAGATAGAACATCTGATAAAGCACCTGACAGAGCTGCAGATAGAGGATCCAATGGAATCAATGAGATGAGAAGATCCAATACAGCAAATTGAACATTAGATAGGTTGAGCATCCAATAGAGTAGATAGAGTGGCTGATAGAGAATCCTGTAATCAAGTATAACACCAGAGTGGCAGAGAGAATAATGCTTTCAGATTGTCAGGTAGAATAGCTGATAGAGCATCCTATAAAGCAGTAGATGCTGAGATGAGCATCAGGTAGAGCATCACATGGATTGGCAGATAGAACCCTGACATGGTCGAGGAGGAGAGTGTTAATGTTGTATGAGCCATGTTCGGAGCAGGGAGCAATCTGACTGTTGCGTGAGTGACATTGCATTCTATAAATAGTGCCTGTGTGCATAAGAGCGAGAGAGAAAACTAAGAAAGGGAGGAAGAGGGAGGACTTTGTGCTCCACTGCAGTAATTCCCTCTTGGTAGCAGCCCAGGGCATGGCAGAAGAGAGGCATGGAGAGAGTGAAGACAGAAAACGAAAGAATGAAAGATGAAGGAAGAGAAGATGGCAATGTGGCAGCAATTGCTAAAAGAAAGGCTCCTCCAGGCCCACGTGCGTTCCTTGTACGCTCCCCGATTCCACGCGACCAGCGGCTGCTGTGGTCTGGTGACACCAATTATATCTTGGCATACATCTTAGTGGCCAGTATATCACTCTTTCACACCTCTCAAAAGCTAACTGCTGTTCCCTCCCACTTGCGTCGGCCACGACTGCTGGACACAGTTGTGCTAATAATTGGAGCTGCTCTTTTTGTAGCTGTTTTTAATAGAATTGTGATTGGAACAGGTTGTGATCCATGCTGGTTCTGCAAACAGAATCCTAACTTTGTTGTTTCGAAAATCGGACATCTGTGCTTTGACTCCTTCTTTGCATATCTTTTGGTTTGTTGTTCTTCTTCTTTTTTTTCTCTAAGTATTTCTTTGTTGGTCATGAGTGCACATCTATCTCAGAAAACGTTTTGTGATTCAGTCAAAAAGTCAAACAAGTTATCAGTTTGGGACGTTCTAATGAAGAACTCCCTAAATCTGAATAGCATTTATTGAATAAACACACAACTAACTTGCTGAATTGCATGTTGTGCAGTCATGTCCGGCAAAAAAGGAGGGACAAAAACAATTCTGTAAGATATACTGGTACTCTAGTGAGCAGTACACTGTTGCAGTTAAGTTGAAAAAGCATTTTGGTAGTGGAGCTATGCAGCCATGTCTTCAGCGCAGCTCCAGATGCAGTGGTGATAATTAACACATGCGACCTCAGTAGCTGCTGTGTGATCTGCGTGGTCCTGCGAGACGGGGACGAAGGTGAAGAGGGCTAAAGATAGAAAATCTGATAGTGTATTTAACATCTTATTGAACATCTGATAGATTAGATAGAACATCTGATAAAGCACCTGACAGAGCTGCAGATAGAGGATCCAATGGAATCAATGAGATGAGAAGATCCAATACAGCAAATTGAACATTAGATAGGTTGAGCATCCAATAGAGTAGATAGAGTGGCTGATAGAGAATCCTGTAATCAAGTATAACACCAGAGTGGCAGAGAGAATAATGCTTTCAGATTGTCAGGTAGAATAGCTGATAGAGCATCCTATAAAGCAGTAGATGCTGAGATGAGCATCAGGTAGAGCATCACATGGATTGGCAGATAGAACCCTGACATGGTCGAGGAGGAGAGTGTTAATGTTGTATGAGCCATGTTCGGAGCAGGGAGCAATCTGACTGTTGCGTGAGTGACATTGCATTCTATAAATAGTGCCTGTGTGCATAAGAGCGAGAGAGAAAACTAAGAAAGGGAGGAAGAGGGAGGACTTTGTGCTCCACTGCAGTAATTCCCTCTTGGTAGCAGCCCAGGGCATGGCAGAAGAGAGGCATGGAGAGAGTGAAGACAGAAAACGAAAGAATGAAAGATGAAGGAAGAGAAGATGGCAATGTGGCAGCAATTGCTAAAAGAAAGGCTCCTCCAGGCCCACGTGCGTTCCTTGTACGCTCCCCGATTCCACGCGACCAGCGGCTGCTGTGGTCTGGTGACACCAATTATATCTTGGCATACATCTTAGTGGCCAGTATATCACTCTTTCACACCTCTCAAAAGCTAACTGCTGCTCCCTCCCACTTGCGTCGGCCACGACTGCTGGACACAGTTGTGCTAATAATTGGAGCTGCTCTTTTTGTAGCTGTTTTTAATAGAATTGTGATTGGAACAGGTTGTGATCCATGCTGGTTCTGCAAACAGAATCCTAACTTTGTTGTTTCGAAAATCGGACATCTGTGCTTTGACTCCTTCTTTGCATGTCTTTTGGTTTGTTGTTCTTCTTTTTTTTCTCTAAGTATTTCTTTGTTGGTCATGAGTGCACATCTATCTCAGAAAACGTTTTGTGATTCAGTCAAAAAGTCAAACAAGTTATCAGTTTGGGACGTTCTAATGAAGAACTCCCTAAATCTGAATAGCATTTATTGAATAAACACACAACTAACTTGCTGAATTGCATGTTGTGCAGTCATGTCCGGCAAAAAAGGAGGGACAAAAACAATTCTGTAAGATATACTGGTACTCTAGTGAGCAGTACACTGTTGCAGTTAAGTTGAAAAAGCATTTTGGTAGTGGAGCTATGCAGCCATGTCTTCAGCGCAGCTCCAGATGCAGTGGTGATAATTAACACATGCGACCTCAGTAGCTGCTGTGTGATCTGCGTGGTCCTGCGAGACGGGGACGAAGGTGAAGAGGGCTAAACCCTCATGTACACCCTCTCTCTAGACTCTCCTAATCTGTACCTCGCAGGCCCAGAGTCCCAGCAACCTCCTGCAGAGAGACGGAGAGCGAAGGAAGAGAGTTTAGGGAGAGAAACACAAAGCTTGCGCGCTGGCGTCTGGCCCAGATCTGGGAAATTTCATATGATTTCTTCTTCTTCTTTTTTTTATTCCCCTCATTGCATGGGTCGGCTTCTTCAATAATCTTCACGTCGAAACTCCACTACACCAGCTCCTCTTGGGAGGACAGACTAGCAAGGGGGAGGCAGGGAGGGAGCGAAGTCAAGGAGCAAAAAAAAGAGAAATAGTTTCAAGTTTAGCTGGAAACATCTGAAATGGATGGGTTTGTTTTGAGGGAAGAAGGTGGGAGAATTTCATCAGCGCTTCTCCCACAAAAACCGCTTGAAAACCAACAGAACACTGAGAAAAGTGAAAGGCTGACAGACTCTAGAGAGGGAGGGTTCCGTCAAGGTTAAAAGGACTGGAGGATCGTGTTCGTACTTCTGCAAGATGTAGGAGTCCTGGGACATTGAAATAGGTCCAGCACCTTACAGCGTTGTAGTCCTGTTGACATGGGAATGTCCCAATACACAAACAAATCTCAATATACTTTCTATTTTGGTTTGTTTTCTTTCTTCCCAAGTAGCCTTACAGATGGTTTTGATTGAGTTTGCATCATTTTCAGTTACTTCTGAGGTCAAAGTACTTTATATTGACCTGTTCTTCAGCTAGAGGTGTCTTTGTCAACATCTAGATCCCGTTTGGCATATCATTGTCAAGGTTTGTGACAGATTTCCTGAGTTGTACTTTTTGCACAGAAATCTAAATTTGGTTTCATCAATTGGTGTGACTTTAAAGTCAAAGTACCTCTCTGCTACGCGCATGTTTGCAAGATTTCTTGACATTGTTGACAACTAGAGCTTTTTGATGACTTTTAGATCCTGTATGGTACGACACTTTGCATTTATCGTCTCGGTTTGTGACAGATTCTGTGGCAGCTGCACTTATCAGAATAATTACTTCCAAGACTAGTGAAAACCATCCTTCTGAAGCAGCACACCCTCAAAAACATGAATTGCACAATCCCATGGCATTTGCCAAAGAAGTGGTTGTAATTTTTTTTCGTAATGTACACGAAGGCAACAATGGTTGTGTTGCTGTTCCATGCTTTGTTTTGCTTGGTACTTTGTGTCCGAGCAGTCACACGGCAAGTAGCTACACACTGCCCCCTTTCGGTCAGAAAGCGGCATTGCTTCCCCGAAACACTTGGACTTGTGGTTGCTGCTGTCCTCTATGCCACTGTCCCGCTAGGAATACTATGTGCTGTTCGCTTTCTCGGCGGGAGGGGCTGCTCTTGATGGGCTTGTAGTTCGGTGCCAAGCCGTTATCTCCTTAGCTGGGTAGAAAATTATTTTATTAATTGCTTCATTTAACAAACACCCCCCTCCTCAACCAAGACACACACACACACACAATCCAGCCCAAGTTGTTCCTCAGTCACTCTACAGGGATGTGGTGCAGGAACAGGCATCTCGGTATAGGCCATATGCCTCTCCCACTTACCCATAATAGACTCCATTGAGAGACAAGGAGGAGGCCTTGTGGTGGAGCTCCGTTATGGGGTTCAGCAGCTGCCCAGCCCTGTAGGAGATGTCCTTTGCTGGGGAATAGAGGGTAGATTTATTACTAACCTAGGCTGGAATGTTATTAGAGACCATTGGAATCATCAGCTTTTTCTTAAACTTCCTTAAACAGTCCAAGCCGTTATCTCCTTAGCTGGGTAGAAAATTATTTTATTAATTGCTTCATTTAACAAACACCCCCCTCCTCAACCAAGACACACACACACACACAATCCAGCCCAAGTTGTTCCTCAGTCACTCTACAGGGATGTGGTGCAGGAACAGGCATCTCGGTATAGGCCATATGCCTCTCCCACTTACCCATAATAGACTCCATTGAGACACAAGGAGGAGGCCTTGTGGTGGAGCTCCGTTATGGGGTTCAGCAGCTGCCCAGCCCTGTAGGAGATGTCCTTTGCTGGGGAATAGAGGGTAGATTTATTACTAACCTAGGCTGGAATGTTATTAGAGACCATTGGAATCATCGGCTTTTTCTTAAACTTCCTTAAACAGAGAGACTTTGTTGGTCAACCAGCTTCAGCAAAGACCAATTGAATGGCATGTCTGTAGGTTTTCAAGTGTTATATCTCTTAATTTTTCTCTTTTTCTTCCCTTTCTCAGGGCCCACCTGGGTCACAACCATCACCACACTCACAGCCCCCTCCACACAACCCCAACAACCCCATGATGGGGCCGCACGGCCAGGTAAGACCCTCGTCCCCCTGTTTTCTTGTACTTCCTCACACATAACCTGTGGAATAGACACAAGTGTAGTATAAAATTTAAGGAGCAACTGTGGAGCAGCTTTCAGTTCACCCTTTCCGTCTTCACACCTTGATTCTTCTTTTCTTTCATTCATTCCCAAAACTGACCACCTTTATTTCTGGAAAAAGTCTGCTTCTTGACCATTTATTTACATTTTACACATTTGGCAGAAGCCTTTATCCAATGCAACCTATATTGCATTCAAGGTATACAGTTTATCAGTTATCTTATTAATGGGAATCGAACCTATGACCTTAGAGTTGGTACCATAATTATAATAATTAAATAATAATTATTGATATATTGATATAATTATCATTAGATTATATTAGACTATTTTAATACAAGAATAGATGATTCTAAGCGACTTACGTTGCATTCAAGGTATACAATTTATCAGTTCATAAATTCCCAGGGAATCAAACCCATGATCTTGGTGTTTCTTGAGCTACAGGAATGATTAAATTATTAAATCTAAGTAAGGTATATATTAAATATGTATATTATATGAATACTTATTTGAAGGATAAAATCTAAGAAAAATCTTATCTAGTCAGTTACATTGTTGGACAACTGGTTGACTATCGTGACCCTTCCCTAGATAGAGCACAAAGCACTACATTACTTCATTCTCTGTTCTCTTTGAAAACACACACAAATGCACACACATATTCCTCGCTGACAGTGACGATGTTGCCGAATAAATAATGCAGGCTGTGGCCCGGCCCGTGAGGAGTGGAAGTTCATCTAGCCCGGGACTCTGCAGACCTGGTCCCTCCCTACACCCTGCACTCAGTCCTTCATAGTCCATCAATATCCTATTAATAATGCAACACGCACGAACACACAAACATGCTCTTGTGTTTACACATGCAAGCATAAACACAGGCACTCTAACACAAATTCGCAAACACCAACACACCCTTCCGAATACACAAACTTGCTGAAACAGTGAAGTTTGAACAAGCAGGTCAATCCTAAAGGTTGTTGGATCAAACCCCTAAGAAAATGACGTATTACTCTGTGATGTAATAAAGCTTTGAGCGATAGATCATTTTTATTTTTTCATGATGTTGCACTGGATGACGTCAACCACAGCGAACTCTCTGGTTAAAAATCCAGTGCCTCGTAACTGTGTATGAAACCTGAAGTATGTTCTTATTTTACTGTGATCATGTGGCGTCGGGCAGTGTTTGTGCTTTCAGTGTGGATAGACAAATGACTTGTTGCTGTAACTTGTCGCTTCCCGTCTGGTTAGAATGATGTTCAGTCATACTGCTCTCATGTCCACCCTCTTTCTGTCTTGGTTCTCGCTATGAAGTCTTGATTAACATACCATATATTTCCTCTATTAAACTATCTGACAGCAGAAGCCTCGCCATGTCAGCGTAGAGAGAATTGATGTTTGAGTTTTTCTTTTTAGGCTCAAACAGATATCTTTTATACAGTGTTATTGTGCCCCCTGCTGGTTACTATTGTACTGCGCAACACTACATACTGTAAAAACTTTTTTAGTTTGTTATAAATCCGAAATATTTTTTTGTGTGTTTGTTTATACTATAAATTGCTTTTGGAAAATCAGATATAAACATCAGAGGTATAGAGTATGATTTCTATCAAGTAAAGCAAGAGTTAATTTTCTGAAGAATTAACAGCAACATACAGTATGTTAAAGTACTACTGTTATGCTAATGAGAGGTTAGCAGTGGCGTCTTTTGATTGACAGCCCCTATGCTCTCTCCCCATAGCCTTTCATGTCTCCACGGTACCCAGGTGGACCCCGCCCATCACTCCGCATGCCAAATCAGGTACTGACCCACCCACAACCCTTAATTTCTGCAGTTTGCTATGGCTGTTTTCTCTGCTTGGCACTTATTTCATGCTCTCTCTCTTGGTTTCAGCCTCCCGTTGGAGTCCCAGGGCCACAGCCGCTCCTGCCAAACAGTTTGGACCCTACCAGACCGCAAGGTACCGCACTGCACCATAGACTTTTACAACCAGCTGTGTTTGAGGAAATTTGCTATGGAAGAGCTCCAGTCGCTCAGGCATTTGTAAAATGATTGTGCTTCCTCTACCCCATCAGGACATCCAAACATGGGCGGCCCGATGAGGATGAACCCACCCAGAGGAATGGGAGGCATGGGCCCACAGGTTGGCTGACGTTGTTTTTAATCAAACAGTAGTGCTTAGATTGGGAACCCTGTACAGTGTATATAATCATAGAAACCATGCAAATATCAGAGAAATGTAAACATACCTAAATAAAATTAAATTAATAAAAACATACATACATATAATCATATAATAGAAAATATTTATTTCTTTATATGTATAATTAAATTATTATTATTATTATTACTATTAATATGATGCTGTCTAATTAAACATAAATCTAATAAAAGTGAAAAGTTTTGATAGAAAATATTTATTTAGTTTATTATTTGTGCATTAATATACAATATTTATCTGGATATTAGATATTCTGTTTTAATATCTGATAAAAAATATATAAATACGTGAATTAAAATAAGCCATAGAAGTATTGTAAATGTAATTTATTATTACTTATACATAATGTTATATATGGGGAATTAAATAATGTTACTAAATAAAACAGCATTACAATGATACAAAGTATACATTTGATTTATTATTTATTATTTTCCAAGTATAAATAAAGCCTTATTAAAAACGAAATAAATCTATTAAAATTCCATGTAATGTTCTTCATTATTTATTGTAAATAATAAATAAATAAACAAACAAACAAGCAAGCAAGAAATGTATAAAGATTGTTATAGTAAGTAGATTTTGCCACATTTTTTGATCAATGAAATAACAAAATAAATTTAACGCGTTAATTAGATTAATTAATTACAGTGAAAAATAATGCGCTAAAATTATTAACGCATTTAACGCACTTGCCTATGTGGGTCATCTGACATTTCATACAGTTGACTGATGACAAATATGAGGCAGGGCAACAACTCACTGTGTGATGGAGCCTAGAGAACGTAGTTTGAATGTCCCTGAAATTCAATATATGTTTTTGTCTCATATTTATATCATATAGTAAAGCAATATCACACTAGCAATAGGCTAAGTGCAATATCACACGAGTGCAAATGTGATACTGATCTTATACAACAGTGCAATGAATAAGAAGTTAATTTTTTATTTTAGACACAATGTTGTCTGTTTTGCTAAATTTTGCCAACGAAAATATAAAGACAAAGCAGAACTGTTAGTCTCCGAGCAACACACAGCGGCATTTCATTTCTTAATGCACATTTGAACGAATTGGGTGAACCATTTGGCGCGTTGAACCACTGGCCATTGGCCATTGGATTTGAAGCGGCGCTACACAGATCGATCGGTGTGTGACATCAAAGTACCGCAAGAGTATTGAATATAGATATATATATCAAGGGAGGCAGTGTTTCCTCAAAATATTGGATGAGAAAAAAAAATTGTTGTGAAAAAATAAAACAATGCCAATATTACAAAATATAACATTAAAAGTGTATAAATCACTAGTTTTTCTAAAGAAATATTGTCCAACAGCAACACCAGCATGTAGAGTAACAGCGGGAGTCCGCGTCTCTCTCGCCTCCCCTGAGCCCAATGAGTTTTAACAGATGCCCTAAAGCGTGTGGTGAGTTTGGTGGGGGGTAATTGAGAATGAATGAGGGAAAATCACGTGAGAGGAGACAATGCCTCCATCGCGATATGATTGGATCTGACTGGTTATGTTCGGCTGTGATTGGTTGATGCGATAAATCCCGCCTCTTGTGTTTGTGCGCGTTCCGCATTCGCGAATCAGTTTGAATGAACAATATAATGGCATTAATGTGAAGACTCATTTAAAAAAGTAAGTAAACAATTCACACACTTAGATATAATCAAGTTGTTACATCAAAATAAGACTTAAAATGGCCTGAAAACATGATCTGTGGGAGTTTTTAGTGAGTAATCAGCTTGGTCAAATTTTAAGTAAATCTGTGTCTGTGACCAATATTTACTGAGCTTTGATGACTGATGAACAGAATAATTCAAAAATCGTTAAAAGTTACCTATTAAAAAGAATAGCTGAACATAAGTTCACAAATAAAATATATTGTTTAAATTGTTACTGCCTTGAGTTATTATTTTGGAATAAAT